GCGAGCCGGCCGTCGGGGGTCGGGCTCCGGGGTCCGGGGCCAGGCGAGGCGACCGTCGGGGGTCCGGGGTCCGGGGTCGGGGTCTGCTCCCCGCCGCGCACTCACTGCCCCGCCCGCCGCCCGGCCGGACGCCGCCGGAACCTCCGCGAAGGTTCTGGGCCTTTGTGGCGTCACTGTCTCCTCGCGGAACCTTCCGCCGGCGCCGAATAAAACCCGCGGCGGAGGAGCCGGAGGCCGAGTGCGGCGGCCCCGGGCGGCGGGCGGCGGGAGCCCAGGGCGGCGGCCGGAGTCGGAGCGCGGAGCGGGACGCGCGGGCGGGCGGCGGGTCGTCCCGGGCGCACTGACCGGCCTCGCCCGCCCCGCCCGCCCGCAGAGACAAGATGGTGAAGGAGACCCAGTACTATGACATCCTGGGGGTGAAGCCCAGCGCGTCCCCGGAGGAGATCAAGAAGGCCTACCGGAAGCTGGCGCTCAAGTACCACCCGGACAAGAACCCGGATGAGGGCGAGACGGTGCGGCGGGCTCGGGCCTGGCGCTGGCGGCGGTCGGGGGCAGGAGGCGCGCGGGGGGGGGGGGGGGGGGGGGGGGGGGGGGGGGCGGGGGGGGGCGGGGGGGGGGGGGGTGGGAGGCTGGGGTGGGGGCAGGCGGCGGGGGTTGGGAGACTGGGGTCCGGCGCCGGGAGGGGCTGGGGTCAGGGGACTGGGGGACCGGGGCAGGCGGCAGGGCTTAGGGGGCTGGGGTGGGGGGCAGCTGGCTGGGTCGGGGGTTGGGGCTGCCCCCGGGGCACTGGGACCCTGGTGACCCCTGCAGCCCACCCACTCCTCCGTTGCCTCCGGCAAGCCTGCTTGTTCAGCACCCCCCGGGGAGCCCGGTTGGCACAGCGTTGGCGGGCAGTTCTGTAGGAGGGGCAGCCCGCAACCCGGGAAACGAAGTTGTGCGATTGCGGGAGCGACCGGGTGGAGGTGTTTTGTGTTCCTTCCCTGTTGGTGCATCAGCACCGGGGACAAACCCGGTGAGGGGCTTGAGAACCGGGAGGGGTTTGGTCTGCATGCCTATCTCCTGCCGGGTCAAGGTCGTGAGACACCGAATAATCACGTTTATTAAACAGGGACAGGGAGATCTCTACCCTGACACATCATTTTACAGGAATAGTCCAGGTTTTCTGTGACAAATGACCCACAGTTGATCCTAAGGACCAATAATAGGCTGAAGAATGCTCTGCATAGTGGAGACCTGAATTAAAATTTCCTGCTCAGGGAACAGAGCTGGCCTGCTCTCTGTCCCGGGAGGCTCGTGAGCCACCCAAGCAGGTGACTTGGCAGGACCACCTATTGGTTCTTGGGAAGGCCGCTTGCCCATCCCCGTCCTCTTTCCGCTGTTTGTCGATTCCTTATAAAACTCTGCAGTCTCCAGTGGTTTGGGGGAGGTGGGCTTCGGTGGTAGAGGACAGCAGCGACACCCAGGCGGCGGGTGAAGCCGCAGATCAGGCGTCTAGCGGTTAGACGCCCGGAGGCGCCGCCCGTGTGTGTGCCCGCTCCCATGCTGGCGCGGGCTGCTCGGAGGGGGGACTGTTGGCAGCAGCGACAGGAGATTTATATTTAGCCACATGTGCTGAATGCGGCTGTCACAAGTTTAACATGCTTTCCTGTAAGACCGTTTGCTGCTCACTCGCATTCTCTCGTCTATATTTAGAGGGCTTACTGTAGCTTTTTGAGGGCCTGGCTTTCTCCGTGGTGTTGGTGATGCACAGACGTGCTCGCGGGCGGGTTCACCAGAGCCTGTGCGTGAGGATCTCCTCTAAGGGGAGCGGGTCCAGGCTTCTCAGCTGGCGACTCAGGAGGCTGGCGAGAGGCGGCTTGCGGGGAGGCCTAGGGCCTGGCTTCAGTCAGATCTCGGAGTGCCATCCAGGAGCGTGTTCAAGGCTGTGTGCGTGCACTTGGAGCCCGTCTACTCCGTGCCCTGACGCTGTCCAAAACTTGCACTTGACCTCTACGACGTTTCCGTGGGTGTTGCCCTGTGCATCTCTCTCTCGGTAGACTGTTTGGTTTGCTTCAAGCTAGCATTTACTTAGAGCCAGGCACCGAACTGGTGTCCCATGCGAGGCTCCTGACGGTGAGCCTGGGGTGGGGGTCCTGGGATGTCCAGGTACGGCAAAGGTGCTGGGAGGTGTGCGGGCTGGCCAAGGGAACGGAGCGCACCCCACGCAGACACGGTTTGGGAGGGCAGTTGCAGTGAAGGGGGATTGGCAGCTCAGTGGACGTGGGGTTGGAGATCAAAGGGGGTGAGGAGACAGGGGGACACAGTTCATGGAAACTCTGCCGTCCAGCTCCCTGAGAGGAGACTCATTCATTCACCAGATCCCCACTTTCTGGTTCTGCTGCGTGCTGGGCACACAGTGTAGACGGTTTCTTTCTCGTGCAAGTCTGTGTGCGGTGCTTGTCCACCTTCTCTGTCATGGGTAGAACTGGTAGAGCCTTTTGCGTTCTTCCTAAGTTTGTCACTGCATTATTCATGTCTCTTCAAAAATAGATTAAGCTGTCCTGTCGCCCTGTGGGGAGGCACGTGAGCCGTCTGGGGGTGCTGGCCTTTGTTTTGTGCTTGTTGTCCCGTGTTGCTAAGCGTCGGGCAGCCCGTTTGCTGGCAGGTGCCCCGTGGAGTCTGTACGGCCTGCTCTGTGGCGCGCGGCGGGTCAGGAAGCCGTCCTCTGCAGGGGTGGTGCGAGCGGGCATGCTCTTGCCTGTTAGCCTCACTGGCTTGCAAAGAATTCGGCCTTTTGGCCAATTTCACTGTAGCTTTTCAAATCATAGATTTTCAAGTTAAAAAATCACCCAAGAGGGCAGAACAGTACAGGAAACATCAGAACATAGAGGAAAACCCACCATACACATCACCCTAACTGCTATTCCCGAGCTGCTCTGCAGGCGGCCTTTTGGGGGTGATCATAGTGCTCATCCTGGTAGCTTCGGTCACCACCGCATATCCTCACAAATCCTCTTCCGAGTTGTGACATCATGCCGAAGTCATTTTTTCCTAGGTGGGTGGTGATCTCGTTAAGGTCCCGGGGCAGATGGTCAGTCTGAACAGTGAGCTGGTGAGAGCACTGACCTCCAGCCGAGGGGGCAGGGCCGGAACCCGGGTTAGACTCGGGGGGCTGGAGCCGCAGGGGCGGGGCAGGGCCGGAACCTGGGTTAGACTGGGGGGGGGGTGGAGCCGCAGGGGCGGGGTGGGGCGGGCCTGCTCGTGGCCTTGGGAGCCCCCACCCTGTGGGAGATAGGGCCTCTGATTAACTGCCCAAGGACAGGGCACTGCTTTTGCTTCTTAGGTTGACCATTAGGTGTGTTTCAAGTGTCCAGAGTATTTGGGGAGTGTTTCTAGTGGAAGTTCTCAGGAAGCATATTCATCTTGACGTGCACACAGGCCCAGAAGGTCTGGGCTCCCGTACCAGGCACCTGCTCCCCACCCCTCAGTCTTCCTGCCATGGAGAGGGTGGTGTGAGTGAGGCCTGCTTCTTCGCAGAAACACAGAGAAGCACCTGAGCACGACCCTGATGTCGCTCGAGGACTTTGTTTGTTAAATCGCCTAGTTCTTTGTACAGGGTCTGAGAAAACTAGCTTCTCTGTCACATCCCCATATGTGCTTCCTCCTAGCAGTTTCTTCTCTGTTCTGTGGGACTGGCTTTGCTGTAGGATGTTGACAGAGACCCCGTCTCACGGACTGGAGAGGACTCTGAGGGACACCCTACTTCCCATACTCATTCCTGAACTCCTAGAACCAAGCCATTCATCTAACACGCAGACGTCCCTCTGGGTCCCGGGTACAGCAGTGGACGCAGCTGAGCGCGGGCCCTGTGCTCACGGGACGGACACTTGCGAGGCGGTGGGCTGGCCGTGTACCCACACGGGCCTGGCTGCGACTCCGAGTGAGCGGGAGAGGTCGGAGGCCATTGAGCTGACGGCAGTGACCCAGGCGCAAGGTGGTGGTCTCTGCAGAGTGGGTGTGCAGTGTGGCAAGAAGGGATGGATTTGGGATATTTTACGGTGTTCTAATTTTATTTTAAAAACTTCCATATACCGACAGAAAAGATGAGCGTGGGGCAGTGAGTGCTGGCTTGCCCCCCCAAACGTGTGGCGACGTCTGCTTCACGTGCAGGCCTCCCAGCCTTCCAGCCCCAAACACTCCCAACAGGCTTCTCCGTGTACCTACCTGCAGTACACCTACCACATTTAAGAAGTTTAACCCTGGGGGAAAAAATCCACCTCTCTCCAGTCGTTCCAGTGTCTTTTGTAGCCATTTCCCCCCAATCCTGGATCACACGTTGCATTTAGTTCTCCTTAGTTTTGCAGAATGTCTTTCAATTTGGGTTTTCTGATACTTTTTCTACAACTGTATTCCGGTTGTCGCAGGAGTGCGATGTCAGGGACCAGAGACAAACACTGGGAGGCAGCACCAGAGGGTTTGCTCACAGATGAGATGTGAGGGGAGGGGAAACAAGGTTTTGGCGTTGGCGGTAACTGAGATGGGGGGCCTCTGGGGGCCGGGCTGGGGCACCCGTCCGCACGGTGTCTGCAGCATGCACGCGGACAGGCGCTCCCAAGGTGTCTGTTGTCTCGTGCAGGGAGACTAGTGTGTGGGAGGGCCAGGGAGGCCCGTGGCGGCAGTCGGGAGCCTGGGCTTTATCGGGTGCTGGTGACGCCCTGGCCTCATTGCCTTTGGCTTCCTGTCGGGTGCAGCCAAGGCTGGGAGGAGCATCCCCTCCCTGCAGGCCCCGTGTCTCCCCGCTCCGCGAGGGGAGTGATGGGACTCCAGAGGGAGCGCGGCAGGCTTGTGTGGGTGCTGGGTGCTGGGTGCTGGGTGCAGAATACCTCCGTCCTCGCGTTCATCGTGGTGGGTGGGCCTGTGTAACAAACAACTCAAACCTTCTCTCTCTCTCTCTTTTTATTTTAAAGTTCAAGCTCATATCCCAGGCATATGAAGTGCTTTCAGATCCAAAGAAGAGGGACATTTATGACCAGGGTGGTGAACAGGCGATTAAGGAAGGAGGCTCAGGCAGCCCCAGCTTCTCTTCACCCATGGATATCTTTGACATGTTTTTTGGGGGCGGGGGACGGATGGCTAGAGAGAGAAGAGGTAAGTGCTTTTTATTTTATTTTATTTTTTTAAGATTTTATTTATTTATTCATGAGAGAGAGAGAGACAGGCAGAGGCAGAGGGAGAAGCAGGCTCCCCGCCGAGCAGGGAGCCCGATGCGGGGCTCGATCCCAGGACCCAGAGATCATGACCTGAGCCGAAGGCAGACGCTTAACGACTGAGCCACCCAGGCGCCCCTGGGATCATTAGCTTTAAATAGCCCCCCCCCCATAGTATCTGGGCTACCTGGAGCCTCCTAGCACCGGGAGCACTCACCTGACACCTGCAGACACCACCCCACAGGGAGCAAATGGGGTGTGAGCAGGGAGGAGGAAGTTCATCTCGTGACATCATGGCGCCTCCTGTCCCGGCCTCCTGACCTGGCCTGTGCACTCTGTTTCTGGCTGGCGCTCTGCAGGGTGTCCATTTTCTCAGGCTGCTCAGATTTTCCACCCCTCATGTGGGAACATCTCTGTAAGAGAGCCTCCCTGCCTTTCTCTGGAATGTGTTGTGGTTAGCAGCTTCATGCCCAGGAGGTGAACAAGGGCCCTGGGCTGCTGTCTGAGTTGTGGGGTTTGTTTTTCCAGCTCGTCCCTCCTGCCAGGCCACAGGCTGCCACCTCTGGCCGTTAGCAGTGGTCCCGAGCTGCCCCTTTCCCCTGTCCAGTCTCTACTGTGGACAGTCTGTTTTGGACCTGAAAACCAGATAGCTAGCCAAGCTTATTAAGATCCTGGGTAAAATCACAAGGAATAAGCTCTGCATTGGAGTTTACAAAGGGTGGTCTGGATCAGCAAGAGGCCCTGGATGAATAAGGCAGTATCTGTTTTCATGGTATAATCGACTTTGAGCTTCAAAAGCTTGGCCGTCCACTCTTGAACACAGGGTGCTGAAAATCCTGAGTTCATCAGGAAGAGCCCGGGCCCCATGTCAGGGTTGCTGGCTCGTGTACTTGACGACAGACATGGTGAAAAGCGTGGTCCCCACCTGCCTGGGCTCTCACTGCCTTGTGGTGAACAGCTTCATGCCCTGAGTCCAGTTGTCTGTCCACGTTGACAGCCAGTGAACAGGGACGGCATTTGTCCGCGACCGAGAGAGCCCCACAGGCAGCCGTGGGCTGTCCGACCCTGGCCTGGCCCTGGGCAGACAGAATCCCACCCTGAAGACACAGGGGCCCACAGATAAGATTTCAGCAGAGGAAGAGTTCCCACTTGGCCACAGATTATAGAAGGGCCAAAACCGGAAAGAGCGTGGGGCTCGGGGAGGAGTTTGAGTGAAGGGTGCGTAGACGGGGTCACGCCCTCCTGTGAGGGAAGAAAGGGCCCCTTTCACGGGAGAACCCTCGGCTCTGCTTAGGGTACCCCCCCCCCGCCCCCTTGTGATCGCTCTGGCCTCAGGTTTGTTCTTAGAAAATAAAGATGGAAAGTCTTTGTTGACATCTATAAAAGATTGAATGATTGGCTCCCAGCTACAAAGCGTGTTCGATCTCGTGGTTGGCGGGGGGGCCCGGAGGTGAGGCCATGAGCGGTGAGTGGAAGGCACGGCTCTGCAACCAAGGTCACGGGCGTATTTCCTGCCGTGTTACTAATTGTTCTCCTTTCCCGTTTCCCCCAAGGCAAGAATGTTGTCCATCAGTTGTCTGTAACTCTTGAAGATTTGTATAATGGAGTCACAAAGAAGTTGGCCCTCCAGAAAAATGTAATTTGTGAGAAATGTGAAGGTAAAAATGAATGTTTGAATGAGTCCCATAGTGACCCTTTAGATCTGGGCATTCATAGAAAAATCATTTTTTATCTTTTCAAATGTAAGGGTCCAACAGACAGCAAACTGGTGGCCTAAGGGCCAAATCGGTTTTACTTTGCCCTGTACAGTTTTTATTTTGACTGACATTTAATTAACACGTTGATAATTATTTTAAACATGTAAAAGTCAAGATAGTTCACCCAACTTAGGGGTCAGCAAACTTTTCCTGCACAAAGGGCCAGACGGGAAGTGTTTCAGGTCCCCGGCAGCCCTGGGCATAAAGGGGGCAGACGAGCCCGTGTTCCCGTGAAGCTGGTCTGGTTTACTGCCCCTTGACGCACATGTAAATGTAACTAACACAATTTTTAAAATAGGATTTTTCAAGAAAAGTCGTGTCTGGTGGCCTCAGACGCACGTTGTCCTGAGGGGGCCGAGCAGGGCCGCCGCCCTCCAGGCCTCTCAGCCCAGCCCCCTTGGTCACCTGTGGGCACAGCTGGTGAGGCTCACGGAGTGAATCTGGCTGGGCACGGCCAAGGTCACAGACCCCAGACCCGTGAGCTCACATATTAACATGTTCCCTGCTCGCGTGGAATCATCCAGACTCTGTACATTGCTGACCATGATTGTAAATACCCGGGGTCCCGCCTACGGGCCCCGACTGCCTTCCCTGGCCCCTGGGGGGACAGGCTGTTTGCGGAGGAGCCCGGCTCTCACTCTGTGCCTCCCCCCAGGCGTCGGTGGGAAGAAGGGGTCTGTGGAGAAGTGTCCCCTGTGCAAGGGCCGCGGGATGCAGATCCACATCCAGCAGATCGGGCCGGGCATGGTGCAGCAGATCCAGACCGTGTGCATCGAGTGCAAGGGCCAGGGGGAGCGCATCAACCCCAAGGACCGCTGCGACAGCTGCAGCGGCACCAAGGTGATCCGCGAGAAGAAGATCATCGAGGTGCACGTGGAGAAAGGTGAGGCCGCGCAGCTTGGCGCCCCATGCCGCCGGGAGTGCCTCTGGCCGCCGACCGTGGGGCGCACAGGTCAGGTGTCTGGGACCTGTCGGGGGCGGGGCCCGGTGCCCCCAGCCTGCCCTCCCGGCTTCACTGCCGTTCCCACCTCCAGCCACAGCTTACCTGCCACGGTCTGCACCTGCAAAAGGTGCTTGACCTTGATTTGGGGTAACTGCCCTCCCCCATTCTCTAACCATTCCCTTGGAATCATTGGGCGTCTTCTTCCTGACCGCCTCGGCCAGGGAGCGGCCGTAGAGCTCCTGCTGTCACGGGGGCCGCGGGCCCCTCCTCGCTGCACCGGCCCCTCTCCCTGCGCACACGGCCCCTCCCTCGCGCACAGGCCCCACCCTGCTGCAGGGCCCCTCCCTGCTGCCCAGATTCTCCCAAGTTCGGCCCTCCCCTCATTTCTATACCAAAGTATACAAATCAACACCCAAAAGGACGCCCTTGAAGGATGTCTACTGAAGCATCCGTGACTGTGGGCGCTCCTAGAGCCATGCCCCCTGCGTGCAGCAGGAAGCGGGTGGTGACCGTGGGCGTGCAGTGGCGGGTGTGCGGGTGCGGCGTGGCCTCTCTCGTGGCAGTCCCAGCCACTGCTCTGGTCCCTGTGGCTACGAGGTTGGGAGGTTTGATGAGTAAAAGCCCCCAAAGGAGTGCGTGCGGTGTTCACAGCTTTGTAGAAAGTACGGTTTTTAAGAGAAATGCTAATCAGAAAGGATGATGTCTCATAGGTATGAAAGATGGGCAAAAGATACTGTTTCATGGAGAAGGAGATCAGGAGCCTGAGCTGGAGCCTGGCGATGTCATAATTGTGCTTGATCAGAAGGATCATAGTGTCTTTCAGAGGCGAGGCCACGACTTGATCATGAAAATGAAAATTCAGCTTTCTGAAGCCCTCTGTGGCTTCAAGAAGACGATAAAAACGCTGGACGATCGAGTTCTCGTCATCACGTCCAAGTCGGGTAACGTTTCAGCGTTGACTGTTGTGCTGGGTGGGTGGGTGCTGCGCAGGACCCTGCTGGCTGCTAGCCCCGGGGTTAGCACCACTTCCTTTTCTCCCAAGTTCAAAGTCTTTGCTAATGACTGGAGAATTTTATGAAATGTTTAAATATTCTCCTAGAGAAAAAGAATTCCGAGTCAGGGGGAAGAGCCTCCAACAGGGATCTTGGGGTCGAGCACCATAACTTAAACTGTAAAATCCTAGTTTGGTAAGAAAAGAGCGGTAACAGGCGGTGGTGGTCTATCACCTGCATGCTTCTCCAGCTTCGGTGCTGCCAATGGCACGTGGGAGACACTGTAAAGTCCAGTTTTCCCGAGAAGACCTTGCCCGTCAGCTTATCCTCACCTGCTCGCAGGGACCCGCCCGTCTGCACACATGCACAGGCGGGGCCGGCACCCGAGGGCTGCGAGGGGCCTCCAGGGCCTGTGCACCCAGCACACCTATGGGCAGCAGAGCGCCTGCCGGGAAGGGCCGGAGGGAGGCAGACTGGTGAAGGGAAGGGCCGGGCCGGGCCGGGGACCAGACTTGCAGCCACCTCTGGTAACATGAAGGTCACTCGTCCGTGTCCGCGAGTCTGGGCAGGGGGTGGTGGTGGCTGACCTGCTGGCCGTGAGCAGAGCTGCTCTGGCCCCCTCGCCACCACCGGGGCACCTGTCGGGGCTGGGGTGGGATGTGAGCCGCCTGTCCAAGGGCACCGGCGCCTGGCGAGGTGAGCAGACCCCAGAGCCGCCTGGCCTCCGCGCTTGCCTCCCTCCCGTGGCCTTGTTCTGTTTCTCTGCTTCTCTGCGTGGTTTCCTCCTCCTCTGGACATAAAAGGATGTGGTTCTACATCCAAGCCTTTTGTATCTGGAAACAACGTCAAACTAACAAAAACTTGTAAAAATAAACACAGGGCCAGGATCCCCATACGTGATTTGCCCTTTCTTGGGGCGCTGCAGTGTAACACTCGCGTGAAACCGTGAGACACAACGCCTCCCCGGGTCCCCAGTTCTTCCGCTACTTGAGTGCAGTACTTTGGAGGTGGCAGGTCTCGAGCAGGTGTGTTTGGGGCCTGCTCACGCAGCCCCTGCCCTGACTGTGGCCCTGAGGGCGTCCGCGGGGAGCTTTGGGAGGGCTCTTCCTCCCTGGCCGTGGCCGGTGCACGGCTGGGCTCCCAGCGTCCTGCTGCGTGCAGGCAAGTGCCCTGTCGGTGACCTGGGGCAGAGGAGAGACCCCGTTCCTCGCGTCGTGACGGGGAAGGGCCAGGGCTTCAGAGACCCTCCTGCTGGAGACTTCTCGTGTTCTTTTTGCTCATTTGTGTTTCCCTGTGTCCTGTCTTTTTCTTCATCCTCTCTCTCCTCGGTTGGGCTTCTTTCTCGTTCCTTCCCTGCTGCTGTCTCCTCCTTCTGCCGTCAGGGTGCGGAGACTCAGGGTCGGTGGGGAGGGTGCCCTGGCAGCTGGTCGGGGGCCTTCCGCATGTGGCTTCCCAGCCCCCAGTCAGTCAGAGGCAGAAGCGTGAGGGGTAGGAACGGAGACAGAACTTCCCAACACACAGGACGGCCGAAGGCCCTGTGCTCCTGCACGGCCCCAGAGGGGGTCCTCAGTGCCTTCCCCTTGACGAGACTGCAGCGGGGGTAGTGGGGGGTGCCGCCCCTCCCCGCCCCTACTCTTTCTGCACACCGACTCACTTCCCTGTGCGTTTTTGTTGCCAAGCTGAAGAGCTTATTTCTGGAGAGACCCTTGTGCCCTTTCTTCTTTATGTTGGGGGGGAGATGGTATTTTTAGACATGGCCAGAACCCTGGAGCTCTGGGGCCAAAACCCCGTGATGCCTTTTTTGAGAGTGCGCGTCGTGGGAGACCCCGGAGTGTGGGCTGGACCACTTCTAGCTCCCAGACCCCAGTGTCCGGATTCCTGGTTTGTTTTTTACACCAGTTTGCCTTGTGCCGGAGGCCCCACCATGCTGCCCCAGGCATGCCCCCCCCCGCCCCCGAGCCCGGGCAGGGTCTGCCGCCAGGCCACCCCCGTCTTCCTGCTCCGTAACCAAACCTTCTCTGCGGCAGGCGAGGTGATAAAGCACGGGGACCTGAGGTGTGTGCATAACGAAGGGATGCCCATCTACAAGGCACCCCTGGAGAAGGGGACTCTGATCATCCAGTTTCTAGTAAGTTCCTGACTTGTCGCTGCGGGCTGGGTCAGGGTGCGCCTCCGTGCGAGGGGCAGCCGCTACCGCGGCTCTTGGCCGACGCTCCTCGCCCTCCACAGGTCGTCTTTCCCGAGAAACACTGGCTTCCTCAAGACAAGCTTCCGCAGCTGGAGGCCCTGCTGCCCCCGCGGCAGAAGGTGAGGGTCACGGACGACATGGACCAGGTGGAGCTGAAGGAGTTCAACCCCAGCGAGCAGAACTGGCGGCAGCAGCGGGAGGCCTATGAGGAGGACGACGACGACGGGCCGCGGGCCGGGGTGCAGTGCCAGACGGCGTGAGCGGCCGGGCGGACTAGCGCGCCCCGGGTGTAACGTTGGCACCATGAAAACGGCATCGCCTGTTGGCCTCGTATCTGGCGTGTCCTGTGTACGTGTTCAGCCCTCTCAGTTGCTGAGTGTCGTCTTGGCTTTTCTTTTGTTTTTCTTTGGTTGTCACTTAAGTTATAGCTTAATTTATATTTAAATGTTTCAAGTGTAAATCACCTGTAGTCTGCATATGGAATCTGTTTATTTACATTTTCAGGATACGTTTGAGAGGCCCGTGACCGCACTGACACTTGCTTCTGGGGGCTTTGCCGGGTCGTCGGCCAGTGTGGCCAGTGAGGCCCCTCGCAGGGCGCTGGGCAGTGCCTGCGGGCGCGGCTCCCCTGCCCCCCGCCCCTCCCGGGGCTGCCGAATCTAGACTCATTAGATGACGCTCCTCCAGACAAAAGCACATCTGTGGCCTGGGCTGGGCCCCAGCGCCTGGTCCACACGGGGCTGCTGCTCTGGGGCTGCAACAGGTGCATGAGCATCTCTCGGAAGCTTCCGGAAGCTTCCCAGCCCTGTGGTGAGGACAAACCAGTACTCTGAACACAGCGCCGACATAACTGTTTGCCTGGGGCCCCGCACTTTGTTGCTCGCGGTTGTGATGATTTTCTGTTGGCAGTCTTTGCGACACTCTTCCACCGAAGTGCTTACCGTAAAGGACACCCCCCACGTGCCGCGGAGCCTCCTGGCCGTGGCTCAGGCCTCGGGAGCTGCAGCCTGGCTGGGGAGGCAGACATCCGTCTGCACCCGCTCCCAGGGATGTCTCCTCCGGCTGCAGGGCCACAGGATGCGGGGCCTCCTGCTTGGGACGCGGTTCTGGCAAGAAGCGCGCTGCCCGAGCTCCGCTGGGCACAGTGGTGAGGGCAGCCTGCCCGGAGGGACAGTCCTCACTGCTTCACTCCCAGCAGGCAGCCCTCCCCTGGTTCTGTAGAAGCGGAGAGTCTGACACAGACCAGGGGCCGCCGCAGGAGGGCAGAGGGGCCCATGAGGCCCCCGCAGTCGGGGTGCGCTGGCTTTGGGGGGGGGCCAGGCTCCAGCAGGACCCATGCGGGCGGGTGCCACTTGCTCAAAATAGGGCCCGCTCTGACCGTTGGTCAGGACAAATCTAAAACCTACTCTTCCAACCCAGCCTGTGTGAAAACCCATGTACAAATGGACCCCAACTCCAGGGAGTCCCGTCCGTGCCGCGACTTCCTGATCATCACCACAGAGCTACTGCTGATGGGGGGCTCTGTTCAGCTCCAGATTCCTGGGCATGGAGACAGGATCTGGCGGGTGTTCCTTCAAACTCACTCCACCTGTACATCTGTCCCTTCGAAATTAAACCTGAGCTGGGATGAGAGACAAATGGCTCTGGTTGTTTACATTTTCTCGAGCCCCACCGAGGGCGTTAAGTGCCAGCCTGCCTCACACTGGTGGACGGGAGCTCGTACCTGGGGTGGGGGTGAGTGCCGACGCTCACTCCATGGAAGAGACGTCCCTGGCTCTGGTTACAGGAGGGCCAACAAGGCCAGGAGGCAGGAGAGGGGTGCGGGCTTCATCCTGAGAGCGATGGGTTTGGGGGACAAACGTGCAACCTCACAGGCATAGGAAGTCGTTAATAAAAAGCAACAAGCTTCAGAGTGTGAACCATTTCCACACAAGCCCCGCTGAAGGGGTAACGGAGGCGGGGCTTGGAGACTGTGGATGCCGTGGAGGCAGCCTCCTCCACCGCAGGCCACAGCCCTGTCTGAAGGCCGACGGGTGCGGCAGGCGAGGTCTTCAGGGTATCAGTAGACATTCAGATAGGCAGGACTCCAGAACATTCCCACCTGGGGAAATTCCCTGTTCCCTTCAGGACCCCATTCTGAAACCAAGAGCTGCTTCGTCCCCACGTCTGCAGGGCTCAACCCTCTGGAGAGCCAGCCTGCACTTCTCAGCTGGGAGGTTCGGTGACTGCCCGGATCGCATCATCACTGGGGCAGGTACTCCCCCCACTCTCCCACCCACAACAGGGCAGCTGGAAAAGCCCGTTCATGGACACGGTGTTGGTGTTATGAACACTTTATGTTCAAGTATGAACAGCATTTCCAATAACAGAACATGAAAAGATTGATCCCGTATCTACAAAATTTGTTTCCGCTCCAATAAATGCTAGAAAGGCAAGGAATGTCATGACCTACACACCAGCCTGTGCGACTCTGGTGTTTACACGGGGCAATCGTAGACGTGAATTTCCTGGTCATCGCCCACGGACACAATTTTTGAGCCATTTCCGTTGTATTTTACTCCCCAGACCTGTAAATCAAAAATAAAAAAGTTCTAATGCCTTTATTGTTTATGAACAAACATCCTTTTGTATTCTCACTATACTGAATCTAGAAAAACAGCGAGACAGGGCTGTTGTGCTTTCTGAGCCAGTGGGAAGGGGGGCCTTTTCCCTAACCAGGCGCTTGCATTGCTACTGTTTATCACTCCTTCACCTCCCACACTCCATAAACCTTTCAGAGTCTCAGAATCCGGGGAGTGACCTCATGCCATGAAGCTGGCATCTGCAGGGGGCCAGCATGGGCAGTCATGTCTCCAGAAAGAAGGCCCACAACTACCCAGGGGCGTCACCTCACTCCTGTGCCCTGCCCCCAGCCCGGGATCCTCCACCCGTTCCCAGAGGCCTCCGGAGCCTGCCCGTCCCCGGAGCTGGACCAGCAGGCAGCATGGGGCCCGGGTTTGACTTGCTGTGCTAAATCAACAGTCACACCTTCCTGACAAAACTGCTGTGGCTGGAGTTTGACTGGGTCAGCCCGTCACTCTGACTCCGAGTGGGGGTTCCAGCCCTGAGTCCAGTGTCATCATGGGGCAGGCCGATGACCTCCCTTCCACCCAAACAGCCCTTCTGAGATGGCAGCATGCTCTGAGCCCCACGTGCAGGGAAATAAGCCAGCAGGGAGGATTTACTCTCAAGAGTGAAATGTTAAGTCCAGGGGTGGAATATCGAGATGAAATCCCCCAACTTCATTAGCAATGATTTTAGATTAGATGTGAAAGAGCATAAACAGTTATGTTAACTTTAAGCTGCATTCCAAAGAGGAGATCAGGGCGCCCAGCTGGCTCAGTCAGTAGAACGTGCGACTCTTGATCTTGGGGTTGTGAGTTCGAGCCCCATGTTGGACGTACGTACCGATTACTTAAACAACAAAAATAAGACAAAATGGAAAAAAACCCCAGGATTTTCATAAAAACATTAAAAATACGTTAAAAGCCAACTTTTTACTGCCATGGGCATTTTATTTTCTAAAGTGACTAGTTTCCCGAGACTTGCTACTCAAAGTGGTGGGACCAGCAGCACGGGCCTCACCTGGAGCTGCTTAGAAATGCAGGAGCCCAGGCCCTGTGCAGACTGACTGAATGGACCCCTGCCTTTCACTGGAGCTCCGGGGGTCCCTGGGCACAGTACGGATGCAGAGACACCGCACCGGAGCCCTGGTTCCTTTCACATCGACACTGGCAAAGACAAAAAGGCTCCTGGGAGAACGGAGCCCCCTCCTCCCCATTTAAAGACCGAAGTAAAAGTTACCAGTGTCGCTAAAACCCAAACAACCTGTAAGAATTTATGGCTTCAGTTATGTTATTAAAAAAAAAAAAGAAAACACATCACTTTCGTGGACAGCTCCAAAAATGACAAGTGCTGTGTGTGTGAGCAATGGGCACTTTTTTAAGATTTTTTTTTGAAACTATTTCAGAGTGAGCGCATGCGTATGAGCTGGGGGAGCAGGAGAGGGAGAAGCAGCTTCCCACTGAGGAGGGAGCCCGATGCAGGGCTCGATCCCAGGATCCTGACCCAGGATCGTGACCTGAGCTGAAGTCAGACGCTCAACTGACTGAGCCACCCAGGCGCCCCAGGGCAATGGGCACTCCTGAGGAAGGCCCTTCCCGAGCCAGCCATGGCAGGCTGCACCGGGAAAAGTGCTCCCGGCATGCCCCGGGCACCAGGGCATTTTCTGAAGGCACTGAACGGCCGTGTGGCACTTTCTGAAGGCACTGAAGTGCTGTGTGTTCTGGCCCTCAAAGGGACATCACACCTCACAGCTCGCCAGGCTGACTGCGCAGACGGTGTGCGGGATGCTGGCTGATGGACACCCGTGCAGGAAGAGCAGCCCAGCAGCAGGTCAGAACAGGGACAGTGTCGGCGGTGCTCAGACAACACCAGCAACCAAAGACAAAGGAATGAGAATGTGAACTCTGCCATACCTGATCCTGGTGGTCGAAGAAGGTGTGGACACACGTTCTTGTTCCAACATCCCAAACTTTCACACTTTTGTCAGATGAACTGTGTGCAAAAGGGAACATTAGTATCAAAACAGTTTGCATTCTGGTTTTAAGTCCGAAGGAATCAGACCAGAAACTCCACCCTCCCCGACGCACCTACACTCTGCCCACCAGTGTGCACCGTGACCAGCAGGGGCTCCAGGGGGCTCCGGGAGCTGGCCTCCCTGATGGATTTCCCTGTGCACGAAGCGGCCACTTCCCTCAAGTTCTCACCTGCCCAGCCCTCATCCCGGGCTTCCCACCCAGAGTCTCAGACACGTGTGCCTATTTCCGGGTCGGAGGGGGCGCCTATTAAAGTCTCTGTAAAGGCCGCTTCTGAATGAGGAGGCTTCTGGAACTCTGTGCAATGCTAGGAAGCTGGCTGTCCTCAGCCTGAGTGACACTGGGATCTAAAGGCACATCTGCGCACAGCTTTATGTAGTTTAAGTTACTGCTGGAACACAGAGATCCCAGAAGTCACTGCATGTGGAAGCCTAGATTTATAAAGAAAAACTAAAACTTGAACTGTTCCAAAGAATCCACCTTTGTTCCAGCGAAGGACAACTACCTGCATAACTTAAAAAAAACACAACAACCCACAAAGCCAATGAAGAAAACAAAGTCTACCTGAATAAAAAGGGTCAGACCATCTTCAAATCTTAAGGCAATTCATAAAAGACAATCTTCATCTTCTTAGCATTTAAGAAACTGCTAAGAATCATACGTACCTGGAAACGAAGTGAGTGTCGTCGGGACAAAAGGCAACGTTCAACACCCACGATGCGTGGCCACTCAGCGTGCCGGCCAGATTGGCGTGTTGTCTGAAACGGGAAAGCGTCAAACAAACTGGAGATGAAACGAAGTCTTACAGGAACACGAGCACAAAATGTGTGACGTTCCCCCATGGCAGAGAGTAGGACGCAAGCAGGACAACCCCTAAGATGGGGAAACAGAAGCAGGGGCAAGCCGGCCACCTCAGGACAGCCGCAGGCTCCAAGCCCACCCGCACGCCAGCGCCCTTTCCACACGAGGCCGGTGCCTCCTGTCCCGGGAGCCGTCAGTGCTCACTCTCTGTACCAGATGGGGCTTGGACAGACCATTTTTAATCGAACCAAGAACAAGACGGGTCTAATTACGAAAGCCATTTTTACTTTCAAATAAGTGAAGTCCAAGCAGCAAAGGCCTGAGGAGAACAATCCCGAGGCCTGACGGAGGTGCGGTGACTCCAGCAGCACAGGGCAGACCGCAGGGGGGTCGGAGGACATGTGGCCTCAGAGGAACCTGCTTCAGCCTGGGCTCCTCCTCCGCCCTGCCAGGACACCAGTCACCCGCGGTCGGGAGGCAGGTGGAACCACAGCCACGAAGGCCTTGTGCAGGGAGTCGGGCACTGAGGCATCGGCCATGGCTGACTGTGGCTCTGGGACTGACGAGCCAGCACAGCTGGGCAGAGGCTTCCCTCCTGAGCCCTAACAGCCTCATCGGCTCTCGCTCCCCTGCCCTGAAGACAAGCTCCCGTTCTCAGTGTCCCTACTCCCAGCGCGGACCCCAGGAAAGCCCGCACAGGCCCACACGAGGGCATGCACACAGACGGTCGGGGCCGGGGCAGGTGGACGCAAACTCGGCGCCCACTCACCGCTGGGGTGTGGACAAGCGTGCCGTGTGCACCCAGGACACCAGAAGGCCACATTCGGAAGCTGTGAACCAGAGGCACACAGACTGCAGTAGAGTCGAAGGGTCAAGGACCCCAATCAATCCCCTTCCAGGGGAGGCTTGAGGGGGGAAGCCCAGGAGGAAGGGCCCTGAAGAGAATGACACTCACTCCTACACCTGCGGTCAAAACCACCCATAAAAAGGCTCCTTCATCCGGACCTGCAGCGAGCTGGTGGATAAACTGACAGCCCCCTTGGCAGGACAGAGGAGAGCTTGCTGGATGTCCACGTTTTTGCCATCACTCTGGGCCAGCGACCGCCAGTGGTTCTACCTCCTCCTCCGTACACGACTGACTAACCTGAAGGAACTTAAAATCCGTGAGCCCTACAAGAGACGGAATGACTGCAAACAGGAAGGAAGTACTGATCCTAGCAGGCAGCCCATGACATTCGAAGTTCAAGGACAGGTGTGTGGACGGGGGAGCAATGCCTGGACCCTGCCCACGAGTCCCTGCCAGACCCAGGACTCCTCCAAGCAGCGGGACACAGGAAGGGCACTGGTCCCAGGCGAGAACCCTTGAGTCTGCACGATAACTTACACGTCATAGATCTTGATGTAGCCATCATCTGAAGCAGTGACAAGGAGCTGCGAATCCGGGGAGAAGGTCAGGGAGCGGATGGGCATGGCATGGCCTGAAATTCACAAAGGCCCTTGTTAATCTGGCAAATCAAGGGCTCCCCACTGATGGCGTCCCTGGTAATGACCACTATCACTGATACTTCTGTCAGGGCAGGGAACGACTGCATGGACCTCTCCTCCCAGTGTTCTAGAAACATCTACATAACCCAGGCCCCAGTGTTCTAGAAACATCTACATAACCCAGGAGCCATTTCTCCTCGGTTCCCTTCCCTCACCGCCTGGACCTCAACACATGTGGCTTGGGAAAAACTCCTCTGCTACAGACATGGACAAACGAAGAAATACACTCTGATCTGTACAGATGAACAGGATACCGTTTCCTACCAAATCCTGTGTTGTAGGGTAAGTGATATAAACTAAGGAGTCAATGTATTCACTTGGTCAGAATTCAAACCAGTAGGAAAAGCAGAGTGGAAGACTCCCTCCCACCCACACCCCGAGGCTGCGGGCGCAGGGGGCAGGCGCAGTGCTGTCATCCACCTTCAACTTCTTGACAAAAAGTCGTTTCCTAGTCACAAAGTTCCGTAGAGCCAAACAGGACAGAAACGAAACACTCACATGGCTGAGATACATTAACACGTAAAAAGGTAAGCCCGTTCACCAAAATAAGCACTTAGCACTGGTACCAGAAGGAGCACATCCAGGTTATAAATAGACGACAAAACCAAGACTTGGAGGCATTTCAGATTTCTAACTGAGACCACTATTTTGCAAATCTGAAGCTCATCTGTCATTTAGTAGCATTTTAATAAAAGACTGATTTGTCCTTTGTGATCTGATAACCTAGTTTGCACAAACTAAAATGAGCCATACCTTCCAGCGTGTGCAGGAGTTTTCCAGTTGCAATATCAAAAATATTGATGATCCCGTCTATGGCTCCACTGGCCAGATACTTCCCGTCAGGGCTCTGTGCAGAGAACATGCGAAGGACATCTGAGACTCCGTGTGGTTAGGCCGTCCCCACCAAACACATGTGGAGCTCCTGCTCGCTGCAGGCCCCGCCAGCCAGACAGCGGCTGCCCGCCTGGAGCACTGCCACCGGCGGGAAGTGCACAATGCGGAGTTGGGGAGAGAAACAAGAGCACTGTTTCCTTACATATGCAATACTAAGAATGAATTTTCCTCTTGTGTCCAAAGAATATTCCTTTTTCCCGCTTTCCACACCAAAAATGTTCACTTTCCCCACATGAGTTCCTGTGGCCAGATACTGGGAATCAGGAGAAAAGGCCAAAGTCCAGGCATCCACTGAACAGGAAAAAAAGGAAAAAAAATACAGTGAGAAAAGGTATGACCTTAATTTTTAAGGCTTTTAAAGTTTTATCAAAAGATAACTTCTTAAAAATTAGAAACAATGTCCTGATTCAAAAACCTATGAGTTAAGATGCTAATTCTTTAATTTAGCTTAACGGCTTCTTAAACTTTTAATAAAAATAGGACAATATCAAGTGTTAACAAGGATGTGGAGAAACCAAAATCCTCACATACTGGTGGGAACATAAAATGGTGTAGCCACTCTGAAAAATAGTTAAAAGTTTCTTTTCTCTCTTTTAAAATTTTAATCACCTGGCACTCATCAGGACAGTTCTCCTTAATCCGCATCATCCATTGGCCCCATCCCCCATCACCTCCCCTGGTGACCAGCAGTGTGTTCTCTGTAGTTGAGAATCTGGTTTTTGGTTTGCCTGTTTCTTCCCCCCCCCTTTGCTCATTTGCTTTGTTTCTTAAATTCCACACATCAATGAGATCATATAATTGTCTTTCTCTGACTGACTTAACTCACTTAGCATAATACCCTCTAGTTCCATTCCCATCTATGTAAATGCTAAGTATTCATCCTTTCTGATGACTGTGTAATATTTCATTGTATATATGGACCCCATCTTCTTTATCCATTCGTCTGTTGATGGACATCTGGGCTCTTTCCACAGTTTGGCTATTGTGGACATTGCTGCTATGAACATTGGGGTGCACATGCCCTTTCGGATCCCTACATTTGTATCTTTGGGGTAAATATCCAGTAGTGCAATTGCTGGATCGTAGGGCAGCTCTATTTTCAACTTCTTGAGGAACCTCCATACTGTTTTCCAGAGTGGCTGCACCAGCTTGCATTCCCACCAACAGTGTAGAAGGGTTCCCCTTTCTCCGCATCCCCGCCAACATCTGTCACTTCCTGACTTGTTAATTTTAGCCATTCTGACGGGTGTGAGGTGGTATCTCATTGTGGTCTTGATTTGGATTTCCGGGATGCCAAGCAATCTTGAGCATTTTTTCATGGTCTGTTGGCCATTTGTATGCCTTCTTTGGAGAAATGTCTGTTCATGTCTTCTGCCCATTTCTTGACTGGATTATCTGTTCTTTGGGTATTTTGATAAGTTCTTTACATATTTTGGATACTAGCCCTTTATCTGGTAAGAAATTTGCATATACTTCTCCTATTGTGTACGTTGTCTTTTGGTTTTGTCAACTGTTTCCTTTGCTGCGCAAAGGCTTTTTATCTTGAGGAAGTCCCAATAGTTTTTTGTCTTTGTTTCCCTTGCCTTTACAGATGTATCTTATAAGAAGTTGCTGCAGCTGAGGTCAAAGAGGTTTCTGCCTATGTTCTCCTCTAGATTCCAGTCTCACATTGAGGTCTTTCAACCATTTTGAGTCTATTTTTGTGTGTGGTGTTAAGAAAGTGGTCCAGTTTCATTCTTCTGTATATAGCTGTCCCATTTTCCCAGCACCATTTGTTGAAGAGACTGTCTTTTTTTCCATTTTATATTCTTTCCTGCTTTGTTAAAGATTAGTTGACCATAGAGGTGAGGGTCCATCTCTGGGGTCTCTATTCTGTTCCATTGATCTGTGTGTCTGATTTTGTGTCAGTACCATACTGTCCTGATGATCACAGCTTTGTAATATAGCTTGAAGTCTGGAATTGTGATGCCTCCAGTTTTGGTTTTCTTTTTCAACATTTCTTTGGCTCTTTGGGGTCTTTTCTGGTTCCATACAAATTTTAGGATGATTTGTTTTGTGAAGAATGCTGATAGTATTTTGATAGGGATGGCAGTGAAAGTGTAGATTGCTCTGGGCAACATAGACATTTTAATAATTTTGTTCTTCCAATCCATGAGCATGGGGTGTTGTTCCACTTCTTTGTGTCATCTTCAATTTCTTTCATCAGTGTTTTATAGTTTTCAGAGTGCAGATCCTTTACCTCTTTGGTTAGGTTGACTTAGAGGTATCTTATTGGTTACGGTGCAATTGTAAGTGGGGTTTGTTTTCTTAACAGTTTGACAGTTTCTTTTTTTTTTAAAGATTTTATTTATTTGACAGAGAGAGACAGTGAGAGCAGGAACACAAACGGGGGGGGGGGGGGAGGGAGAGGGAGAGGGAGAAGCAGGCTTCCTGCTGAGCAGGAGCCCGATGCGGGGCTCAATCCCAGGAACCTGGGATCATGACCTGAGCCAAAGGCAGACGCTCAACCAACTGAGCCACCCAGGTGCCCCAATTTAACAGTTTCTTAAGTGAAAACAAACTTACCACAATACCTTGCAGTTCCACTCCTGGGTATCTATATACCCAGGAGAAATGAAAACGTTATGTCCACACAAAGACTAGTGCACAGGTGTTCACAGCACTGTAATGTTTACACAGTAGAAAACGGGAAAGAATCCAAGTGTCCATAAAGTGGTGGGTGGCCGAACAACAGAAAGGAACTGCTGACATGTTACAACGTGGACGAGCCGTGGAAACATGATGCTACAGAAAGGAGATTCACGACCCCGCCTACACAAACTACGGGGATGGAGAGCAGATCGGTGGCTGCCTGAGGCTGAGGATGGAGCACAGACAGACTCTCCACGGACACAGGGGAGCTTTCTGAGGCACAGAACTGCAGCAGTGACCGCACAACCCCAGAGACTAAAACTCGCTGAACACTTACAATGGGTTAACTTTACAGTGCAATTACAGAAGTGAAAGCTCACCTCAGTAAAGCTGTAAATAAACGAAGATGTACTATACAAATACTCTCCAGGTAAACTACAATATGACCGAGTATTTACCACAAATTAACAAGGACTGGAAAGAGGCACTGTTGTTTTTGGAACAATCACCTGGTTTCTCAGTTACACTGTACAACTTAGTTCAAGAGCTCTATTCCAGTGTGATTTGTGCATCACAGTGCATCCTCAGCCGGATGGAGGGGTCTTCAGGCTCCTATGCGGCCGGGGCAAGTGATGTGCTTGAGATTTCTATCTGGGAACATGCCACTGGTGGTAGTGTGGCATTTATTTTCTGGGCTACTTAGAACCTCTTCAGACGCAATCCCAAAGAGCTCTGGGGGCCTCTGGGGTCAGGGCCTAGAGGCCAGGGAGTCATCCAGTTGCCCACTGCCTGCCTGGCCCTTTGCCCACGGGCACTCTTTACAGGAATGTGCCCCAAGTCTTGCCACCCTGCCCCGACAGGACAGTGCTTGCCAGATCAAAGGGAAAGCAGAGAAAGGCTCCCTCCCAAGTCACTGGCCTCATTCCTGGGAACGGTTCGCAGAGGGCAGGCCCTTCCCAGCCCACTGGACTAAGGAGAGGCCGCCGTGAACTTGACGCATGGCAGACAGTGGGTCCCAGCGCAGATGGGCCAGCACCATCCCCCAAGGTGTTTTAAAACAATAATCTCTTGCAAATTTCAATGCACATATTCAAAAGAGTAATAAATAATTTAGCTCTATCACTTTTCTCCTGAAATGTTTTAAAAAGGAAATTAACTTCAAGAATGCTCAATTAACTGAGAAGATCTGAAAAAGCATTTATAATCAATTTCTCAAACAGCTGCTTTTTAACCTCTCCTTACTAATGACTAGCATTTATTCCAACAGGATTATGTTTTCTTATTCCTATTGTAATTAACTGTTTAAGGAATAATGATTATTAGAAAATCTACTCTGAATTCCTTGCAGTTTAATAAAATAACACTCCTAAATTATTTTCATATTTCCCTATTAGATGGTTTACAATACAGGATTTTTCGTGTCAAATATCCTTATGCTCAAAATTCAAGGAATTTTTGTTCCTGCGCTCTAAGACTTGCAGTATTTGCATAAAAGATATTTGCTGTAATCACTAAGCTCCACCCTGTCACTGACAGCAGCCCTTTACTCTAGGGCGTCCTGCCCGTCTGACGGTGTGGATGCTCATCCTGAGCACCTGAGGGCTGGGAAGCACGGCTGCTGTGCCCACAAGGCCCTCCCCTGTGTCTTCACGGCCTTCCACGTCCTCACTTTCTTCTTCAGGATCAGGGACGTTCTCTTCCCTTCTCCCTGTTGTTTGTGGTGGTCCACAACCTCCATGCATATTTTCAAGACAGGCACCATGTACGTGTCAGCGTCCCCACACTCATGACCCGAGCAGTGTGACCTTTGGATGGTTCAGCTGCTCTTTAGCTGTCAACAGCAGCACCTGCTTTTACTACCCGAGTAACTGCTGCGTAAGGACCAGATTCCTGTCTGAACAGAAAGTAAATCCAAGCCTCTGACGATTCTCTGTGCCTTCTTTCCCTACGCACTTGCCACACACGGAACCGATGCCGGATGTTTAGGGCACTGTGTGTCAGGGAAGGCAAGCAAAGTGCAGACCGGTCCTCTGCCCTGGAACCAATCCAGTACTCATCTCTTCAACTGCAGCGTGCCCAGGGCCACAAAGCCCTGCAGCGACCTCAGCGTCATGGGTCTGGCGAAGGCTTAGGTGCCCAAGGCAGCAACAGACCTGCTTCTTCCTCCTCTCCCCGGCTCTGTCTTCGCAGACTTTGGGGGCTGGTCTGGGGCCCCAAGTCCTCCATGAGCAATGTCAGCAGGTAAGGGTACAGGTCAAGACAATCACCTGGGGAGTCAGTGTCCGGGTAGCTTTTTCCACATATGTAACCCGGTCCACACAACCTGAAAACTGTGCTTCAGTGGCTGCAAAATAGGGTCTAGGCATGCATATTCTTTAAAAATCTCCAGTAGTAAGAATCATAGACATGAAGTATTGCTTCCAAGGGGAAATGCACTCAGTTTCTAGACAACCTAGCTTCCCTACAAACCGTGGGACTATTATTCTTTCCAATATACAGACAGCCTGTAGTGGCTACTGAGCATAACACGTGGGAGGCAAAATCTACCTGGGGCTCCAATCAAGGGGATTATGTTCAGGAAACACCTAAGCACCTTCCGTGTCCCCCATCCACGAAGGGTGTGCCACAGAGGCAGGTGGCTCTCTAGGGGTCATCACCCGTTCCAGCTGATGGTGAGTGCTATGCAGTCATTTGCAAGTAGACCGAAGGCTCCAAGGAAGCCCGGGATGTCATGTTGCTCGTTCCACATTAATCCAGCCCACTGAAATCATTATTAATTCCTATTACCCGAGATATTTATTAAGGCTAGTAGACAAGATTATGCTGTCCTACAGTACTTAAAAAAAAATGTTACTCTAGAAGTTTCGTATCTATCAAATGCTGGGAATCAGGTCTTGTAATCATGATTAGCAGAGATTATCATGATACAGATCTAAGAGCACACAGTCCCTTACACTTGAGACTTCTATTAGGCACTGCATGTAACAAATCAGAATATGGCAAACAGAGCAGCTTTGGACCCTCCGAATTCAGGTCCACAACCCCAAACTGGCAATTCTAAAATCTAAAGCCTCTGAAAACTGTGAGTTTTTCAACAGGTTTAGTACCAAAATTTATTTGGCAGTAAAACCTGAACCAAACAGACGTATAAACCCCCATTTAGTTGCTGAGACATTAATGCTTGGAGGACTGCCCCCACCCCACTAAAGGGATTTTAATACGCAGTCCATGCACCCATATTACCCCCTCAGACCCAAACAATTCTGAACTGTAGAACTTCTATCCCTAGAGGTTTGGAAACGGATTGTGAGCGTTTATTATCCTCCCTAAAAGTAAAAATCTTACCGGGTCCTGCATCTATAGACTTTATCTGTTTGCCGTTTTCCAAGTCCCAGAGACGAATATGAGCATCAAGAGAACTGGAGGCAGCAATGGGCAGGGTGTGGCTGATGTCCACGGACACCACACCCAGTTGGTGTCCCTCCAGACTCCACTGTAGGTCCAGCCTCTCATCAGACCTTCAGTGGGGGACAGAGAAATGGGTTTCTTCACACACAACACGCTGTACCAGCATCTGAAATTCTGGGCCCCCATGACCCACCCCTGCTCCCATTACCAACAGTCTGTGAAATGCAGAACCGGAGAGGAACCACGAGCACAGAACACTAAAGGCAGCCAAGTTTTAACTGTGGGACTTTTTTTTTTCTTAAACTACAGGCCTTAACACTGAGTAAAACAAGTGAGGAAAAAATAAGCTGCCTTTTTAAACCACCATACTGCTACTGCCTTCTTGCCTAGAAAACACTTAATGCTTTCCTGATTGCAACTTGGGAGTCCAGTAGAAAAACCCTAGACCCCAATTTCCAAGGCTGTTAGGGGAGAGGGTGCTCACCATTTCCAGACCTTCACCAGGTCATCCAGGGATCCCGTGACCACTGTCTCAGAGTTTTCTTTCTTGTTTGTCCCCCAGGCAACTGACCAAATGGCATCATCATGGGCTAGAATAGAAAGCACTTCGTGTAAAAATGCTCATGCAACAGCTACACTGCGTGGGCTGAAAGGAAGCTGAAATGCTGTTCCAACAGCTCTGAGGTCACACTGCCGGGGAAACCGGTCACCTGGTTTACTGTCTTGCCAAGTGCTTTCCCTCCTGCTTTTATCAGAACTGCAGAGGCACACACAAAACACCTGCCCCAGATCACAGGTGCACCAGGGAGGGAGGGAGTTCCGGAATAATCCGATGGCCTTCCCACTTCAGCATGCTACCTGCGTGCCTCAGTCTGGAGTGCCTATCACCTGGCTGAAACTGGGGAAACCAGCAGGACACCCCCACCCCTCAACAAAGACCTAAACTTGGTAAGACTCATCTCTTAGGGATCCTTGGGAACCCGCAGGCAGTTTAACTGCAAACAGTACAGGTCTGAAAATAAATACCTCCATACTCAAGTTGCGTTTTGTCACAAATGTCTATTATGCTTAATGAGTCAGTTACTACATTAATTTTTTATTAAGTATTATCTCAATTAATCACAACAACCCTATGAAGTAGGTACTGTTAATATCCTCTTTTTACAAACAAAGAATCAGAGGCTTAGAGAAGCCAAGTAACTCACCCAAAGTCAAAAGCTAAGGAGGAGCAGAACTGGGATTCAAAGCCAGTGTCTCTATGAACTAAAGTCCACCTTAAATCTGAAGGCCTGACTGGGGGGTCTGCAGACCCCGTGCAGGTCCACACACGTGGCAGGTGCACGCGGAGCCTTTACTCATGCCGCGTAGTGACAGTCGAGGAACACCTTTCCAAGACATGAATACTGGGCACTGAGCAGCTGTGACTCACACGCAGCTTCAATGACAATGCCCACCTGAGCCAAGCCTGCCAGCGAGCCGCCTGGACGGCATGAGCTGCATGCTGGGTCGTTGACTGGCATGCCTGACTAGCCAGTTACCCATCTGAGCTAACTTGGAAGAATGCTTTTGGCTTAAACTTCAGACCATCTAAATGGCAGCTACTTAGAGTGGAAGAAACGAGGCCCACATGAAGCCCCGCATCCCTGGCAAGCTGCACCCCCAGCCATCCCCACACACTGCTGTGTCCTCTACTTTCAGTAAGGTAATGGTCTCTGCGGGAGCCCCTGCACTTGTCTGAAGTGGGGAAACCACTGTAAAGACCCCAGGGCAAGTTCTGAGGCTCTACTGGTTCCCTCTGTCACCCTGGTAGCTGGGGAGCTCAGAGCTGCATCTTTCTCGGGCAGAAAAGCTTCCCTCAGCCTGAGCGTCCCAGTCTATTATGTGACTCCTGCGTTTTCTTTCCAGTGAGTTGTGTGGGGGCTTCTGTTGCAGTTTGCTTGTAAATATCTGTTTTCAGCTGTGTCTGCCGATTCTTCTGCAAACTGAGTACACTTGGGGATTGCGTGTCAGGTCAGCAGACCCAAAACGCCAGGGATGACACAGTTCCCACAGGTGAATCTCCTTCAACAAGGAGGCTGCTTACCTTGCTCTTGTTTGAAGAGAATACTGTACTAAAAAAAAACAGACGCCACATTAAACCAGTGGTCAGACTTCAGAGGTAATCCATCCCCTCCCTAAAACACCCTCCCTAAAACGCCCCCTGGCACCCACCTCACCCCCACCCCCCACTGTTAGCTCCTCCCCCTGCCCTCCCTCCACCCATCCTACAAGCTTCCTGATTCCTGCTCATGCGAGACTTGCAGAGTTGACCATGCCAGAAAAAAATCAGTTCTTACAGAAACCGTACTCTCTCCTTGCTCCATCCCGAGGGGACTGATAAATTCCATGCACTCCCTGCTTGGATCGCAGGAGGCTCTGCAGCCAGTTTCCAGCCTAAGTTTTGCAGTTGTATGAAACCACACGGCCTACCTAACTGTTACCGTTGTCCCTAATCCTATTACAAAGATTTCTCTCTTTCTGATTTTTGTTTCTTTCTTGTTTTGTTTTTGTTTTTGTTTTTTTAATTCAGTAAGCTCTACGCCCAGTGTGGGGCTTGAACTCTGACCCTGAGATCAAGAGTCGCGCACTCTAGCGACTGAGCCAGCCAGACTCCCGAGTCCAAATTTTTTTCCTCAACCCCCGTCAACCGTAGAAAGACTTAGATAGCCAAAATAATCCTCCTCTTGGTGCTGTGCATCTCACAGCGCCACCTAACCCCCTGGTGAGTAGTGCCCAGGGTCTTCCAGCACTTCCGGAGCAGAGCAGGAATCAGATGCTAGTCTCCTGACTACACACCCAGATCTCGTACTGGCCTTCACCCAGCCAAAGAGACCAGCTGCGGTGCTTCTCCTCACCACAGGCCTTACCTGGTTGGTCATGTCCTTAAACGAGGATGGAGGCTATAGGCCAGAGGGTTCTGTGGGAACATCAGGGCTTCAGTGAGGGGGAGGGGGTACAGGAGGTTCCCTTATCAAGAAAATAAGGCAACCCTCTGCTGCAGCAGAGATCAGCCCCAGGGGCCCCCTTCATGAGCCCTACAGGGTGGTACGATCTTCTTTTTCCCTTGGAACCCAGGGAGTCAACTAACACCTACCCCATGCCACGTTTTCCTCTCCCCAAGTCTGACTATAGACAGGGACCAGTCTCCATCACTTGCTGCTCTTCAGAGAGATAAAACCACAGGTCCTTTTAATTGCAAATATTATTTATTCAAAACTCAACAAGCAAGTATGTGGGAGCAAAGTGCTTATAGTCTCTGAAGGGATGTCAGCCAAATATGCCCACGAGAGCCAACAGGCATGTGAATGAGACACATCTCCCAAAGTCTTCAAGGACTGAGTTCAGCTAAACACAAACTTCCTTTAACAGACGTATTTTTGGGATTGGGGACACCTGGGTGGCTCAGTTGTTAAGCATCTGCCTTCGGCTCAGGTCATGATCTCAGGGTCCTGGGATCAAGCCCCGCATCGGGCTCCCTGCTCGGTGGGAAGCCTGCTTCTCCCTCTCCCACTCCCCCTGCTTCTGTTCCCTCTCTCGCTGTGTCTCGCTCTGTCAAATAAAAAAAAAAAAAAAAAAAAAGAACAGACGTATTTTCGGGATGCCTGGGTGGCTCAGTCGGTTAAGCAGCTGCCTTCAGCTCAGGTCATGATCCCAGGGTCCTGGGATCGAGTCCCACATCAGGATCCCCACTCAGCAGGGAGCCTGCTTCTCTCTCTGCCTGCCACTCCTCCTGCTTGTGCTCTCTCTCTGACAAATAAAATCTTAAAAAAAAAATAAGAATAGACGTATTTTCTCAGGCTGTAAGGGTTCTTCATATTTCATGTGTGTGCCCTAGACCCTCCAGCAGCCTTGTAAACCCTTCTCGGGACTTTGCAAATGCATAGGACTAGAAAGGGAACCAAGTACAGTCAATGCTTGTTACTCAAGGTTCTTATATTCTATGAAGTTATCAGGAACACCAAGTTAGCGAATATGGACCCCACTGCTCCCAGGAGAAACAATGGGTTAGGGTCCCGATCAATACATCATTTCAATGCCTAACAGAAGCTTATTGCACGCATGCATGTTCTCCACAGGAACCTCACACGAGGTGCACTAAGGAACATACATTTTCACACTGCGCTTGGGGGCTATTTTAACAGTGATACTGCCAACAAAAAGCACAAAAAATGCAACAATCATGACACTAAATAGACTGAAAAAAGGACCCTTGTTTACATGAGAGAGGTAACACAAGAAGGCAGAGCGTCCCCTTGTTCTGCTGCAGCTGAAAATGTGTCGGGGACTCAAAGTTTTCACCACCGTGCACATGTCCGCGAAAGACCACAAAAGCGCTGCAAGTAATGATTTTGGGGCCACAAGTAAATTTTAGTGTACAAACTTGCAAATACAGAATCTGAGAATAAGAAAGATCAACTGCACACCTAAATGAAATGTTACCAGGATACGAAAATTAAATTTGTGATAGCTGTTTATTAACACCTTACATAACAAGGTCTAGCAGCAAATCTGATCACTACAATACTTTCAATGTTGTGATGAGCTTACACAATATCCTAAGATATGGACACAGCTGTGATTTCTATTGCTGACAAATTCACGCTGTTAATACTGTGGTTTGTTGCCTACATCCATAACTGGAGAAAATGCTAAATTTCTGCTAGAGATTACAGAACCTAAAAATGCAGTTTTCCTTCTCATCCGCATTCATGCCCCCTCAATTCTATCCAGGGACAGAAGAGACCATACAACGAAGGCATCCACATTCTGGTGACTTGCTTTAAATTTGTAAACCCCAAAAGGCCACCACGAAGATTTTCCAAGGATAACGGGAAAAATAATAATTCCTATATAATCCTTGTCTGTGAAGATCTCAATCAAGTTGGTAGTGTTAACTCATTTGTGAACCAAGAACAGAGCAGGAAAGGCAGTGAGGAGCTTAGGCCAGGTTTGCTGCCCAGGGAAGCACGGGCCTGCCCTCTCCGCTTCCAATCGGATCTCGTATTTAGCAGCAGAGGGAAACAGCCTACGGGTAGGAAGGCTTGCAGGAAGCCAACTCCCCAGAAGCCAGCCTCCTGAAAACAAAGGCATGCTTCTGCGAACGCGTGCACACACATTAGCTCACTGAATCCCCCCACCCGCCTCTGCAGGCATCCCTGTTAGCACCTCCGCCCTCCTGATAACCTCCGAGAGCTTAAGGAAGCCTCCCCGGGATCGCTGTGACGGTAAACGGTGCACACAAGCTATAGCATAGGTTACCAGGCGACATTACCTCGTATAACAAGTAATTTCAGAGCTAAGGGGCCCCCAGAGCCCTCCTCCTCCACTTCCTCTCTTTAGGGAACTCTCCCTCACTTTCCCCAGCCGAAATCATCGCTCGCCCCCCATGGTTTCCAAAGAGCACCACACATGCTCTATTACTCGGGCAGGTCAGGAACCCACAAGACGACACGGTACGTGAAGTCAAGAGAACCCGGCCCGTGCTTGCACCTGTCCGGTGATGGGAAGCTCGCTACCTAGGGAGGCAGCTCGGCCCGACTACTGGAAAACTTCCATTTCCCGTAAGAGACACCTCTCCCGCAGAGACACCAGCCCCAGCCCCGAGGCTGCACAGGACATTCTCAGGAGGCAAGACGAGGCCCGCTCCTTCTCTCAGGCCCGCGCACCCACAGGAAGCCAGGGCGAAGGGACTCGCTGGAGCCCCCGTCGGGCCCGTGGCCTGGCGCATCCCTGAGCAAACCAGCCTGGAGGCCGCCTCCGGCGCACCCTCGCTCACCCGCCCTCCGGTCCCGGCCGCTGGCGGCCCCAGAGACTGCCATCCCCAACGACCGAAGACGTCAACTCACCGCCGTCCTGCCGGCTGCACGGCCGCCGCACTTGTGACGCGAGCCTCGGAGCGACGGCGTCGCGCAGCGATGAGCTCAGGAGGCGCGGGGCGGGGCATGGCATCGCGCAGCCTCGGCCCCGCCCCAGGGCGCAGGCGCGCGCCGCAGCGCCCCCTACCGTCGCGGCGTCACGCTGCCCCCAGCGCCGTAGTAAGGTTTCCGCGCCTGCACCGTCAGGCTCTCGCGTCTCCGCTTCCTTCGCTTTGTCGTCTGAGCTTCAACGCCACGTGACGACTCCTGGGGTTCTGTTGCTTAAGAAAACTTCGGTGACATAGAGTTTCGTGTTTCAGACTGCAAGTCGCAACCTGTGTGTGCGATAGGTTTCCGGTTAGTAGGTTGTGACCCGCCTTTACTAGACCGTGGCAAGCAGGACCCCCACCGTCCTATCCTCCCGAAGCGCCCCGGTCCCCCCGGCCGCCCGTCCCCGCACCAGTGTCCCCCCCGCCAAGCCGGGATGGAGGGAGATGCAGGGCCTTGGCTGTCTGGGGGCGGCCCCTGAATGGCCGGCTGTGTGTCAGCCAGCCCCCGGACAGACTGCAGTCTCTCCTGATTAAACCCGGGGTAGAAACCAAGAAGACTGTCCCAGTCTTTTTTTCCGTGGAAGTTAGAGCTTCACGGGTCAAGTTTATTAGGGCCGTCTGCAGATCTACCACTGATTTCAGGAAACTGTTAGACCATACAACAGTTTATTCACATGACGCCATAAAGTTCACCTTGGGGGCTTTTGGAGGAGGCTGTGTCGCCCAGAAATTTGCCGAATATACACACAAGTCTCCCAGGGCCGGTTGTCTGGGCCTCAGTAATTCCTTCAGTGACTCCTGGGCCATGGAAACTGCATCCAGCCCCAGTGGATCCCCTACATGTCACTAGTTTAGAAAGTTTGGGTCAAAGTGAGCAGGCTTCAAGACATCCTGAATTGCCAAAATTCTTATGTGCTGCCTCCTAAAAATCAAGCTGTTCTGTAACCATTCTGGATATATTTGACCACAGGACATTTGCTCCTAAGGCCAAGAAAGAACGTACAAATTATACCTCCAAACTGGGGGCAATTCCCATTACATTGACCCACATGCTCAGCGGACCCTGTTCAGGCTCATCCCACAGAAAACTAAACTTGCAGTCCTGGGACCCGGGTTCCTAAAGTGCCGAAAGGCCTTCACATCGGTCTGCAAAGCACTGGCTGTTAGCAGAGAAATCACAAGTAATCCGCTGTCTTTCTGCCCAACCCGTTGCTTAGTTTTGGTCAATCTGCCCCTTTGTGTTTGTTGGCAAAATTTGTGGGTTTCTCTAGTTTTTGAAAATAGACTGATTATGATGTGACCACTCCCAAACCAGGATAATTGGACCATCTTTACTTTGACTTTTAGCTTTTGACTATAAGGAAGTATTTTTGAAGACTTCCACTTTAAGGATGATAAAATTGTCGCTATCAGAAGTGCCTCCAACTTAAGTGGATTTTAATTTGTATGATTTGGGCTTATGTGGGTATTTTTTCTTTTTCTGCACTTTAAACCCCCCCACCTCTAGATTTTTCTAAAAGCACACTGATCACTTCTTTGCCTTTTAATTTTATCTGTTGTCAGAATATTAAGGCTTTCACCCTTCTGTCTGCTTGCTTCTAAATCTGCTACTATTCATTTCCAGTTGAAGCAAACTGGGTATTAACTCAACTTTTGTCAAGCATTATAGTTGTGAATAAAAATTCAATGAATCATCTCCCCAAAATGAAATAGAATAGATTAAGAAAAAATAGCATAGAGGATGTAAGAGTTCATCATTATTTAATGTCATGTTAAACTAAAATTATGTTAAACTAACAAACAGGCAACCTGTTTCACATATGCAGGTAATACGCTGCAAAGGAAAATGTATTTCTTGCTGTGAGTTGTGCCAAGACGTTCGAAAATCGTTGCAATAAGGGCTTTCTAAAGACTTTCCAGCTCTATGATTCTGTAATTGTGTTGGAACTCCAAATCATTCATTTAAAAAAAAGATGTACACCGGCTTTCTCCCCTGTGCCCCCAGAGCACGGCCCAGAGGGTCACTGGCATAGCTTTAGCAATGGTACTGTGACACAGGGTAACAGGGGCTTTGGGGCGCCATGAACACCTTTGGCATCTCATGAAGTCCATGAATCCTGTCTCAATATAATGTATTGAAATGCATAAAAATGAAATGCATAGGTTTACAAAAAAAGTAGTTATATCAAAAACGTTATCAGAATATTTCTGGAACAGTAATATATGCGTGGCTCTCTTCAGGCTGCACGTCTAAGAACGTCTGTAACGTCAGAGTAGTGATGAGCGTAAACAGTGTTTTGGATGATCCGCAACAGCTGTACTATGATAAGAAAATATCTATGGTTTGTACTGGTGACAAAGTGACAGGTTCTGCTAAAACTTCTGTGGTTTATTGCTGACATTCGTAATTATAGAAAGTGTTAAATTCCAGTTGGAGGATAAGGAAAATAAAGATGTAATTATCATCCACCAATTCCCACGGA